CCAATTTTTCCCTATCTGACAACCATTAACTAGGCAAGAACTTGGCAGATTACGCCTTACTTCCTGTCTGAAATCCATCAAATAGACAGTAAAGTCGGTTATACATGGTACAAATTTTGTCAGGTTCTTGATGACTGTCTGCACCCTTCCGACCGGCATCCCTCGATCAGCAAATTGAAGGAGCAGGTTGTAAAATTTGCGGCTGAATGGAGCTCTGACTGCTGTCAGAATACCATAGAAACAGCAAACATTCCTCGATCAATGCTCGTAACCATTTATGGGGGAATCTCTTATATTTTCTTCAGTCAGCCTACGGGTTGAACGAAGAAAATATATGTGTCTATACCCGGCTTAAGTAAGCAAAATCTATAAGATGTGGGCACTGACAGCAATAAAAAGATGCAAAGGTTGTAGATCTTCACTTTATTAAAAACACGCACATATGGCTGCAGTTGGACTTCAATACCCCATGCCTTACGGCAATTCAGACTTCTGGAAACAGTCCTATGTTTCTGCTGCAGAAATGTGAGGGGCTTCTAAAATGGCTCAGTACAAGCACCCCTGACGTTATTAGAGAATGAAGGAACAGCATTCTGGCTGTAACCGCTAGCAACCAATTTAACGACTAGATTTCATTCATCAGCCATTACTAGACTGCTAACCGCCTGATATGGGTTTAGTTGCTGGGTTACGGCACATCATTGTCCTTTGTATCTTGTTATTATATGTGTCCCTTTGGCTTGATAAGCAGCAATTCTATTGCACAATAGCTCCTTTAATAGCTGGCTAAAGGATGACACAAATAATGTACATTTCTTAGTAAAACAGTGTCTTCTTATTTGTTCATGCATTTCACATACACAGTGAGGTCATTGTTGGCTATTGGATTCAGTAAAAATAAATTGAAGCATATCCTGTTAAGGATCATTTCAGGGTGAGTTTGCTTTCATTTCAGAGAGAAAAAGGGAGATACTTGAATTGCACAATGAACAATCTTTGATGTAAGTCATTATAAGTAATTCATTCATTACAGATCAGCAAAATTAGGACACTTTAGGCTGCTGATTCAATCACAGCGATGGCAGAGCCTCATTTACATGAAACACTGCTCTTCTTATCTATCTGAGGCAGCTTCCAAAATAATAGTGTGTGTGGTTTGAGCAGTGAGTATTCTTCCAATGATTAAATAATATCCCTTTAATCTTCAGCTATAATGCTGCAGTATTCTACAAGCTATACTACTAGATAGTAGTTTTATAGGCAATTTCAAGACCTTCTAGGCAGTAGATGAGTGTGTCTTCCATGTCACTTGCAACCTCACAAAATAGTTGTAAAATAAAACAGGTTATATACATATATGTTTTACTGTGCCTGATGCTCAGCTTTGATAGCAACGCATGGATGAGGAGCATATAAATATGCTTTCATAGAAAAAGTAGGTTCTTTGTCATGGCTGTACTTATTTTAAGTCCAGATTAAACCATTGAAAGATTAAAAACAGTTCAATATAAAACGTCCGTCATGATTTTCATTAGGAGAAGTACTGCTGGTGAAAAATAAACTGTCAAAAATAACAGAGTATCAAGCGGGTGAATACAATTGTGTTTTTTCTTCTAAATGGTAAATCAAAACAGAAAATATAATTTGTGAGGTCACAAAAAGAGGCATTAAAATTGAATGTAAGATATGGGACCCTTTAGACTTTTAAGTTGACGTACACCTGATCTGTGATGTGCGTTCACAGTTGAGCTAGCCGTTTATCAAGCTATAATTTCACTAAGAACCAATGACATTACTGAGTAACTAAGAATTTGGGGCAATGTGATAAACAGCAGTGATGTTCACCGTGAGAAATGCAAAATGAACTTTTATCAAGAGCCTTGAGTAGCAAAATAAAGGAGATATATGAGGTGAGTGATTCCCACTCATCTTCATAGTTAGAGCTGACCTGTGACAAAGAAGCTGTTACAGGTCGGCTCTATCAATCGGGAAGTGAGCAGAAACATGCACTGATCTGCTCACTTCCCTATCGCCTCCCTGCAGTGAGCGGTGACTGTAAGTCATCGCTCCCCGCAGGGATTCCCCCTCCCCTCTCCAATCCTCCACCGCTGAGTGGAGGAATGAACAGGGCAGAGCCAGCTGTCACTCACGCACTACAGTAATGTCGGGATCCGTCCCGGCTGCGGCGCTCACAGTATATCGCGAGCAATAGCCCGCGATATACTGAGCTTTGGGTCACGGGAGGGCGCTAGTATATGTCCTCCCGTGATCCTAAAGAGACCTATAGGGAAAAACACTTACCCCATAGTTCTCTTTTAACTAAAAGATGGATTCCGGTGCATGTTTGGTTACTGCTTTTTTGCCCTGTTTTAAACCCTTGTTAAAGGTCCAGCTCTTACAAAAAATAATAAATGCACACACATTAGTACAAGAAAAAATTTGCCTTTATTAATTTTTGCATTTAGGTAGAGATGTAAAATTTATGGAAATTTTGAAGCCATGAGAAAAAATCGTTTTTACCCTTTTTTTCTGGGAAAAATTGACATTTTTAGAAAAATAAAAAATACATTTAGTGTGGAGTATTTCTACAAATTGAAAGTCATTTTGTTACACTAGGAAGGTAAAATGCAGTGTATATAAAAGTATTATGCTTGAACAAAAGTACAGCCTATTCAGTAAATAAACTAAACTTGTTTTTTTACATTTTATTTTATATTTGCAAATTGCAGCTTTGCTCTCAGCAGAGGTTACACTGTGGAAATGTTTCCAAACTCTAGATCTTGTTCCCACTATTTTACTGAGAGGAGGAAAAAAACTATTTACTGACCAGACTATAGATAAACATTATACTGTGATGGTGTAGAACATTATTAGGCTTAATTTAAAGGTTATAAGGATAAACCAGACAAATGTACCCTCTTACCTGTCAATGAAGGCCTGAGAGGACAGAAACTATCATCTACTATCATACCAACAATCACCCAACTGTAGGAAGTACAAGATAGAGCCCACAAGCTAACTAAACTGGAGCCTATCCTCTGCAGTGCCACCACTCGCATGTTTCTTTTTGAGTTTGAGAAGTGCATTGAATAGTACATTGTTACTTGAATTGTATTCCAGGATTTGCTTGTCTTCAGCTGAGAGAATGTGCAACAATTTAAGACTTTACATAAAGTCTCAGAATTCTTTAATTAAGGTCTTCATGCTATATACAGTAGTTTTAATACCATGTCAAACATATCCCAAATAGCAAGTAATTGAGCTGCAAGTTTGAAAATGACTTGCTAAACTATTGCAGACTTGCCAAGCTTCACAATTTTGTTGCACAATTACAGCAAGTCTGCATTGCAAGTCTCCAGACCAATGAGTTTGCAGAGCTCTTGCTGGGACCTGCAGGACTCTTGCTGTAGACTTGCCAAGCAAATTTGCTACAAATTCAAAAAGTGTCAACTAGAACTTGTGCTGCAAGTGTTCTGCAAGTCTACAACTTGCCAGGAATGTGTGCAGCAAGTTAACAAGAATTACAATTTAACCCTGCCATAAGTTTGTGGCAAGTTATCCTTGCTATCTGGGATATTATTTATCATTGTAAAAGAACATACTCCACACAGCTTTTTTTTATTTCAATTTTACCAGACAAAAACAAAAACGGCTTTGGGAAAAAACCCCAGAAAAAAACCCTGTTTTTTCCCCAATTTGTCAGGGTTTTTTCCCAGCCCTTCCCATCTCTACATTTGAGCCTTCAAAGCTTTGCAACCATGACTGGTGGATTGCCAGTGCAATGCTCTGGCTCTTGCAGACTCTTCCGTCCAGCCTTGTCCATACTGAGGTACAGACTTTCAGTTATTGGAAAAGAGGAAGTATCAATGGACTACCAGTATGGTGACATCACGGCACTTGTTCTCCATTAAGCATCAGTCCCTCTGCCGCAGAGGCAGATGGGACTTGTAGCCTTTCAATTGATCCGTGAATGGATATAACAAATGTCATATGGCCCAGGGGGAAGAGCCATGCGATTCAGGTATGTGGGGTTGGTAATGTGACCACATTTTATAATATACACCATAAGTATAGGTGTAACATGAAACATAGTCAGGAAGGTAGACTAAGCCTGGAGGCTTTTCTCACACCAAAGCGTTTTGTCACTCAAAGCTACGTGCAACAAAATGCTGAAAACAAGGAATTCTGTTGATTTCTATCGCCCCTGTTCACACCTTAGCTTTTTGTCACGTGTTTTTTCACACAAAGTTTCCCATTGAAGTCTATGGGACCAAAAAGCGATGTAATCTGCCAAAAAGTAGCTCTTTTTCCAACAACAGGTTGTTTTCTGCTTGCGACAAAACACTCAGGTGTGAATAGGGACCAAAATATGAATGAGATTCCTTGTCTTGTGTGTTGTCCTAGGTGTGAATAGGGACTTAAAGTATATGTAAAGCCAAAATTATTATTTTAATCACTTTACAAATAGTGCCCATAACTAGATTATAGCTGTTGCCTAACGCTAGTTTACTGATGATTATCACATTAACCAACAAATGGCTCTTTGTGCATGTATTTAGGTGATAGGTGCCTTTTATTTGCAATCTGTCTCCAAATGAGCTTTCCAACCTAGTGAAAGCGCCATTATTGGGTCAGTTGCTGGTATATTTGCCGCATTCCTTTTCTGGGACTGACAGAAAAAATAACCCTATGCTTGTCTGCTAAGAGATGTAAAAAGCAGTAAGTGGAGAGAGGCAGTAAAATTACTGTGTCTCCAGTTGTCACCTCCTACCTCTGGGGTATGCTAAGAGCTCCGGAGGGTTCCTCTAACTTTCATTATTTCATTCTGCATTGCAGTAGTGCTTTTTCCATTGTCTTGTTGTTTTATTAGAATTTTGTGTATTCATTGCATTGCCTGAATACTGCTTTGTCCTGTTTCTCCCTCAGTAATTAATTCTGATGTTCTCTTTGCCTCTCTGTTTCTTCACTGACTGTTTGTTTCTAATGCATTTTCTGACAAGGATATGCTGCATTGTGAATCCGCAGACATGATGGGAGACTTCCAAGCTCAGCAGGTGCGTAAGTACATAACATTTGTCAACAGATGCAGTTTTTTGGGGACAAGTGACTTGGTTGTTTCAATTTGGCTGACTCTATTTACTGATCTAAAATTGGGTTTCTTATTTGAGGTAGGTCTCGGGTATGAACGAAGGCTGTTTAGTGTAGTTGTAGCGTTGTAAATGAAATACTGGGATGTGATATACATTTTAAACAAAATGTGTTATTTGTCAAATAATAGTATGGGGCAAAAGCAATATTATTACTTTTTAGAACATATCATAGGGATAGAAGTTTATCATATTTTGAATTCATCGTCTATATAATTTTTTGTTACCTAAAACATTTTGTTTTGTTTAAGAAGCATGATCGTTTAATGTGTTACCAGATAAATGAAGTAAGAACTTGGATATATATATATGCATGTCTCACTTTATACTATCACATGCATGAATTGCTGTATTTTATGTATAATTTACCATGGCATTAAACCAGAATGAAAAGGACCAGTTAAGTACCAGAGTAACAAAGAAAACAATGTTCAGGCCGTTGGAGGTTTTACCATTTGTTAATTTGTTTACCTAGTAAGTTTGCTGCAAAAACGGGTTATTAGAGCCACAGCATGTTGAAATGGTCCTAACTGACTAATAGTTTTGCATTCCATGCCATTTGTGCCTCTTGTGGTGTGTTAGTTTCACTATGCCAAACCTCTACCCACAGAGCCCTCGCTAATGGCAGCTTAATCTGATAGCACTTAGAAAACATTTCTGCTCACAGTTGTATTCACTAAATTTGCGCTGGGTTTAGTAACAATTCACAGCCGACAATCTTCCGATTCAGATTATAACGACTTAAAAAAATAACACTTTAAGTGTAAGCTAAACTAGAACTAAAGGAAAACATGAATGTGTCTATTTAGTGCACATATATATTAATTGGAGAAAAAAGCAAATGTTAATGTTTAACTGCGTTGCACATAATTAACTTTGATTAGATGACTTAATTAGAATTCCATTATATTCTGCATCCCCAAATGCATTTTGAACATGTCTGACAAAGGGAATGCCTACACTGACTGCTGGAATGATAAAAAAGGCAAAGAGAAGAAGAGAGGCAGAAAAATCCAATGGGCAGCCCTTAAAGTTATTGAGTTTAGGTCCAAGGGACTCCTGTGCTGCCCCCTAACTAGACAACCTAATACTAGCCTTGAAATACATGCCTGTTCACCAGAGCGGTCACACTCCAAGTTTTACTGGCACATTGATTCCCAACTTCTTGCTTTTCTCTGCTGCGGCAGTGTTTTGTACAAAGCATTGGTACTATTTGACTATTCAGCAAAAGGCAGTCAATCAGGGCCTCTGCTTCACAAAGAACACCCCTCAGCTATATTGAAGAACTGGAAATGGTGGAGAATGATTGCGTCCATTAGACGCAGGAAGACACA